AAAAAAAAAATTTTAAAAAAAAATAATATTGGAACCCCCCCCCTTTGCCCATTTTTTTTGTGGGGAATTTTAAAATAGGGTATTATTTTTAAATTTAATTTTTTTCCCGGGCAACTTAAGGCCCCAAAAAAAATATTTTGGTTTTTAAAAAAAAAAAAAAAAAAAAAACCGTTTGTTTTAAAATTTTTTTTTTTTTTTTTTTTTTTTTTTTTTTCTCAATTTTTTTTTTTTTTTAATTTTTAATTTTATTTTTTATTTTTTATTTTTTATTTTTATTTTTTATTTTTTATTTTTTACATTTGTTATTTTTTTAAATTTAGTAGTAGAGATATAGTATAGTTATTATTATTATTATGAAGTTATAACAAATAATAACAAAAAGAAATTATAATAAAATAAAACATAATAATAATAATAACAATAATAATTATAATAATAATAAGTCTTGTTAAATAGGTTAAAAACTACTAGTCGTCTATAGTTTTTATTTATTTTTTTTTTTCATTCCAACAAATTTAATAATATTTAAATAATTAAATAAATACTAAAACACTTAGTATTATATTTTAATAATTAATATATTAAAGCAATATAATAATAAGCATAATAAAGATAATAAAAAACTAACATTTGTATTTATATAAAGAAAAATTAAATCTTTTTTTTTTATTTTTTTTTTTTAAAATTTTTTTTAAAATATACAACAAACATATCATTTTTTATATACACCTTAAATAATATAAAATTTTATTAATAATTATTGTTATTGTGTGGTATTATTTTTAAAAATTTTAAAATTTTTTTAATTGTTTTTTTTGTTTTTTTTCTATAAAAATCAAAATTTAATTAATTAATAAATAAATAATAATATAATAATAAAATAATAAAAAAATAATAATAAAATAATAACATATTTATTTAAAAAACTAATATTAAATAACGAATAAACCATTTTCTCTCTTGAATTTAAATATAAAAGAAGAAAATAAATAAAATTTAATAAATATATAAGAATGACAATTTCAGATAGATCAATTTATGATTATTATAATATAACAGAAATTATAGGAGAGTAAGCTAAAAATTCGTTTTTTTATTTTTTTTTTTTTAATTAAAAAAAATCAAATTAATATTAATAAATAAAACTTTTTTTTTTTTTAGGGGCACATTTTCAACAGTAACATTAGCAAATAATATAAATAAAGAAGAAGAGAAATATGCTGTAAAGATTATTTCAAAAGAAATTTTAGATAAAGAAAGAAGAACATATGTAGATTGGGAAATATCAATTCTATCAAAATGTCAACATCCAAATATAATAAAATTTATTGAACATTTCGAATCAGAAGAAGATATTTGTTTGGTGTTGGAATGGATTCCAAATGGAGATTTGTTTGATCGAATTATAAACAAAGGAGTTTTTAGTGAAGACGAAGCATTGTTGACAATGAAGTCATTATTATCAGCGATCGAATATTTACACGATAGATCTATAGTACACAGAGATATTAAGCCCGAGAATATTTTGGTCAGTTCATCAGAGGGAGATATTAAATTAGCAGATTTTGGTCTTGCCAAGTATTACGAAGAATCAGTTGGTATGGATAAGCAATGCGGAACTTTGGCCTACTCTGCCCCGGAAATTACAAATAATCAAATTTATAGAAAAAGTGTTGATATGTGGAGTTGCGGTTGTATATTATATTTTATTCTTTTTGGTAGACCACCATTCTATAGTAATGATGAATCCATTATGTACGAATTAATTGTCAAGGGTGAATGGTCATTTCCTTCAAATTCAGATTTCAAATATTCCAATCAAGTTAAAGATTTAATTAAATCATTGTTACAACAAGATCCAAACAAAAGACTAACAGTTAAAGAGTCATTAGGCCATCCATGGATACTTGGAGAGAAATCATTTTCAAAACTATCTTTTAGAAGTTTACTTCAAAGTAACGAATTTAATTATAATATTGTAAATAATAGCTTAATACATAGCAATAATAACGATGACGACAACGATAACAACCATGATAATAACAACTCAGCAAACAATAGTTCAATGGACGAATTCTCTTCCGAGGAAGATTTTACCGAAGATGATGATGATTATGACGATGAAGTCGAAGAAAAATATCAACAAAAACAACAACAACACCAAGAACAACAACAAATTTCAATGCGCACTTCTTCCTCTTCAGCATCAAAACCAATATCAATTAAGAAATCAAATCAACTAAGAGCAAGCTTTAACCAAACTGTAGATATACTGCGTGGCCCTCTTACACCTTTATAAAAATATAAAATTAACAACAATAATAATAATAATTATAATAATAACAATAATAATAATAATTATATAAATTATATAAATTATATATGAATTTTTTATCTATAATTTTTTTTATTTTTTTTTTATGCATTAAAAAAATCAATTTTCGATGAATCACCAAATTCTTTTCTGGGATTAAAAAAAACATAATAAATATTTATTTTAATAGTAAAATGCTATAAAACTTTTTTTTTTAGTCTAAATTTTATTAAAATTGTAAATATAAAACAATTTTTATTTTATTTAATAAATATGTTATACTCTTGTAGAGTTTTCTATCCTTTTGATCTTGTTACGAAAAAGGATAGTTTAAATTAATTTTTAAATTATATTCTTAATTGATATGTGTAATATATATTTTGTTATTTGCTATTCCTACTATTATTGTTTAGTTATTAGTGCTATTATATTTTTTTATTTATTTATTTACCAGTGTTTTGTAACCATTTCTTTTTTAATTTTTGTTTTATAAAAATCGCTTATTGGTTTATAGAGCGGTAAGTTGTTTCTCATATTTATAATAAACCTTCCTTTAGTATTGCTTCTTTTTTTTGATGTCATTGTCCATACTTGAATTGCATTTTCATCAAAGTCCATAGCATCACCAATTATTTCTCTTGCAAACCCTACTCTTTGCCCTTTATAACCTATTAAACAATAATTTGGATTTGAGTCTGATATTTGTTCTATTAATTTACCGGCGCCCATCATTTGAAAAGTATTATATAATCTTTTATTATGATATGGTATTGCACCTGTTATAACTATTGCAACATATATCCCAAGTTTAATTGACTTTATATATTTTCTAAAAATTTCAATTTCTTCATCATTCGTTATATGAAATATATTGAAGGTAAATGGTAGTAAATTGTTAACATCTTTCTTTTGATCCAATACCCATAGGTTTATTGCTCCTTCCGTTATTTCATACATATTTGAAATGTCTTGATTGTGATATAAAAATTTGGTGTCAAAAATTCCATCACCTGATATTACTTTTAGTGTCATATTTATAAATATATTGATTTTTTAAATGTGTTTTAATTGTTTTTTGTTTTTTGTTTTTTTGCCCCTTTATACAAATATTCATCAAATTTTTTCTTTTTTTTCTTTTTTCTTTTTTTTTTTACAACCAACCAATTTTATAAAAAATAAAAATAAAAATAAAAAAAATAAAAATAAAAATAAAAAATTTAAAAAAAATATTTAAATAATTTTAAAAAAAAAAAATTTTATTTGAAAAGATAAAATATCTTTTGTGATCAAATGACACAAATAAAAAAAGTAAAATTCGAATTTTAGTAATCTTGTTTTAACATTTATTATTTATATTTTTATTAATTAAATATTTTACTGAATGGGTTAACTAATTTTTTAATGTCAGAAATTGAATCTTTACCACCATAAATTAAAATTTGTTCGACAAGGTACTCTGATCTATCATTTGTTGAAAGATAGTAAAAATCTTGAGAGTGCTGAATGGCATCTTTTATTACGTCTGGATTCCAATGTTGGAAACAGTTTAAATACCCACCAATCATGGTTTCGACTTCTTGTGGGCAATATTGTAAATATCTTTGAATTAAAAAATAGGCCATATTTCTGATATTATAGTAATCGGATTGAATTAATAATAATAGCTCATTCTTTAAAAAACTAAGTTGATTTGGTACATTGTGGGTTATTTTAATAATTTCATCCAATTGTTGAGCAGTTTTCTCGTTCTCATTTAAATATTTTTCATTCTTAATATATTTAAATGGATATGATTCTTTACAATTAATAATATGCTGAGATGTTTGTTGTTGTTGCTGTTGTGATGGTTTCTGTGATGGTTTCTGTGGTTTTGATTGTTGATGTGGATGTGGTTGTTGATAGTTTATATCGAATGAATATAACGAGTTTAGAGTTGAGGTTAATTGATTTGGTTTTGTTCTTTTTAATACTGGTTGGAAATTTGGATAGAAATTTGATAAAGACTTTATAATATCTTTATGTTGAATTAAAAGATCAATATTTTGATTATGATCAATGAAGATTAATATAAAATCACAAAGCTTTGAGATCATTGGAACAAAGTCTGAAATTCTTGAGCTACAATTACTTGACAACAATGTAAAGTATTCACAAAGTATTGGTTCTAATGATGGACTATTGAAAACAACCGGTCTTAAGATATCCAACAAATCTAATATTTGGTAGAATAAATGGTGATAGTTTCTAGAAAGGAATTGATCTAATGGTGTGTCGGATCTACCTGATAATAAGGAATGAATTGATGGTAAGTGTAGCGAAATAAGCTCTGGGTGAATAAGTGCTAGCTTTCTAATAATTATAAATCCTGAATTTCTATTTTCATTTGAAACATCTGATATCTTTAAAATTATACGATGAAAGATTATATCTAACTGGGTAGTTGGAATTTGACTCTTTAAATCATTAGGTATTATATTGTTATTTTGATTTTGTTGTGGTTGGTCAGACTTTTGAATTTTTTGTTGGGGTTGTTGTTTTAATAATAGTTGGTTTGTCTGGTTTGATGGTAAAATTAAGAAAGGTGAATAGTTTGAAATAATTGATTTTAATAATGATGGAAATGCAAAATAAATTTGTTTAATGACAGTTGCAGATGAGGAAGATTTGGTATATTGATTAGAAAGGTGAAGTATAAGTGATACTAAATTATCTCGGGATATCATTGAAGATGAAATTAATAGATTCATTCTATTTTGTAATTTACTTGGAGATAATATTTTGACACTATCCATTTCATCGACAATATAATCTGAAAGGAGTCTAATGGTTGATGGGTTTAGGTAATGCATAACAACAGAGTCCATTATTGTGGTCATATTTGTAACACTTTTCGAAATGGCAGTAGTAGCGGTATTTGAGGCACTATAGTATGGAGCACCAGATCTTGGGTGTTGGTGATAAGCATTAATAAAACTTAATACCAATGATGGATCTAGGCCAATTCTCTTATGGCTAGAATTAATTTCAATAAATTGATTTACCCCATTCTTACAATCATTACCAACCTTGAATAACCATTGCATCATTATTTTTAAATTTTTCCATGTTGAGTTGTGGATAAAATGTGAGTGTAAAAATGTTGAAAATTTAAAGCTACCTTTACCAAATAATAGGAAATAAATTTTATCTAAATTTAATTTAATATTAATATTATTATTAATATTATTACTATTATGGTTTTTCATTGTTTCTTGGCTATTAAAATTTTGTTTATGATTTTCTTGATTATTTAAAATGAATTGCTGTACCAGTAATACCATCCAATCCAATAGTATACCTAATGATGTTTTTAATTTTAAATCTTTTTTTGAACCAATTTCGTTTAATAATAAAACTAATGAGTTGAAAATAACTATTGTGACATCAGTTGAATGAGTTGATTCAATATTGTTTCTTTGGGTCATTGAATATAATTTACTGAAAAATTTACCAATAAACTCTTCTAATCTCTGTGGATCATTAAATATAAATAAACTCACTAAATTCTTAAAGATATAACCCAACCTATTAATTTCATTTATGACCAAATTTTGATATTTGATTTTATCCAATTCTGAAATAATTTCTTTACTATTAAACTTAAATTTTGGAACTTCAATTGAGTCACTTGAATAAATATTCCATTCTTTGCAAATATCAAATACTTTTTCATTTGATGGTTTTGAATGTAACTTTGGACTTTGCTTCATTGGTGTATTTATGGGGGTAATTGGTAATAATTTGAATAATGCTTTTTTTGAGATATATTCTAAAAAATCTTTTTGTTTGAATACATTATTATTATTAATTTTTTGATTTGATAATGAATCTAATAATTTTTGTATTTGATTATTTTGGTTGTCAACTATTTTGGAATTCTTAATTAAATCATTATTTAATAATCTTATTATGGAAATTAAAAGTGAGATATTGATTTCATTATTTGGGGCTAAATTATTAAAATTGAAAGATTGTATTTCTTTAAAATAACTTTCAATTTTTTCACTGTTATTTTCTTTAATTATTGGTATAGTTATATTAATTAATTCATTTGCTGTTGATGTATTATTAAATAGTTGATCTTTAATTGATATATTATCTATATTCATTGGTTCTGTCTCTTTAACTGGACCATCGTTATCTAAAAATTGATTAAATATTAAATTTGATTGCTTCCTTTTAATAGCTTTCTCTTTAATGATTTGATTTTGTTGTATTGACTCTATAAAATTTAAAAATAAACTTCCCTTCTGATTTTTTGATTTTTTAATAAACAATTTTAATATTGTTAATGTGTTATTGTGATTTAACTTCAATTGAGAAAGTTGTTTTTTTATATCCTCATGGTTACCACTACTATTATATTGCTTTTTAATTTCATCTATACTATTGTCCAGTTTAGTCAATATCATTTCCCTTGAAATATTTGAAATACTGTGAGAGAATAAATAGTTTATACAATCTGTCGATTTCAAAAGATATTCAGACTCGAATGAAACTTGAATTAACTGTTGGATATTTGATTGGAGTACAATTTCAACAAACTCTTTACTTCTTAAAATTGGTTCGTCAACACTCTGGTTTTTAAAGTTATGGAAAGTTGTCTCTAATTTTGAATTGGTTTTTGAAACTGGGAATAATATATTTATAATGGATTCAATCTGTTGATTAAAATTTTGATCAATAGAGTTATTGAGTTTATAGGTTGATAAACAATAAATAACCGAGTCCAAGACTACCCTTGGTATATAAATTTCTTTGGGGTTTGTAGCAGATGTTGTAGTTGTTGAGCTTGAATGGGTTTTGGCCACTATCCATTTTTGTTGAGAATTGACTACGCTATGTGATGATAAATAAGATGATAGTTCTTTTTGTTGCTCTGGCTGGAGTAAATGTAAATAAACATAAAATATTAAAATAGCTATTTCACTATTCATTAAATAATTTGCTGTTACGCCTCTGTCAAGTATTAAATAGGACAAATCGATTGGAAATGATGCATCGTATGGTGTACTTTGATTATTAACCAAATATTGAAGATATGATTTAATAGCGTTGATATCAGTCTCTATATAAATTGCTTTCTTTAAAGCGGCAATTACTATTTCTTGACTTTCTTCAAACCACTGCAAGCTTCCTAACTTTATTAACCATTGAAAATCTTCAGTTATAAATAAATTTGAATCCGTATTTTTTTGAATACCATTTGAACCGCCCAATGAAGATAAATTATTTGTTGGGGAGGTTTTTATTTTATCTAAAGATGATTTCAATTGTTGATGGGTCGATGGTGGTAGAGGTATATTTGACCCAGAGGTTGTCGATGTGGATGATGATGATTTTGGTGATGGAGGTACCAAAGAAGCCAAAGCCTTTTTAGATAGCAATCTAACAATTTGGTTTTCAGAGTGTAAGAGTGTAAAAAAGAAATTTAAAATTTCTAAAGTTGGGACAGGTGACAATGAGTTGAAAAATAATGTCATTCTGCTTAGTACTCTTTGAGATATATTATTATTTGCATTTGGTGACTCGAATTGGGTTGATAATAAAATTTCACTAATACAAATAGGTGGTAAAATATCCAATGTCTTTGGGTCGTTGTGTATTATAGGATTTAACCATACCATTGATTGTTTTGAATCTTGATTGCTCATAATTTCTAATAGGAAATCCGGTTGTCTACTGGTACATAATACAAAACCTAAATGATTTTCGTTCTCTAATTTTTGTAACTTTTCAATAATTTCGTCAGGTGGTTGTCTAATTGGGCCTTTAATATCCAATAAAATAAATTCGATGCCATTTAATTGTGGGTATTCTAAAAATAAATAAAAAAAATTAAAAAACATTAATGTTAATATTTTTATAATAAAATACATTCAGATATTTTATAAAATATGTACTTACTTGATAATATTTTTTTTTCTTCTATTCTTTGGTTCATTTCATTAATTTCAAAAATGTTTGAGTTTTGAATACCTTTTGGTATATATGGTGGAAATTTCCAGGAACGAGTTATGACCATTTCAATTAAAGTTCTAATAGTTGGACAATTTGGCCAAAGATAAGTACCGATAACAAAGGGGGATAAACAAACTAAAAGACAAGATAATACCATTGATTGCCAAAACATTGGGGTATATGCTAATGGTGGGTCACTGTTTTCAATTCTTGAAAAATTAATAAAGGATTCTGCAAATGACGGTTTTGTAATATTTGATGCAATACCAACTTTGGTTGCAGTTGACATGGCTCTTTTTAGTAATCCCTCACAAAGATCTAAACAAGCCCCTCTTTCATTTGAAAATTCTGTACCAATATTTATAATGACCTCGAGTATAACCTCTTGAATTGGTGTCTCTGTAGTTAAAATACGATAAGCATTTCTATCTGAATCCGCTGCATTATTGGAAGCTTGAAAATAGGAGCCCAAAGGTTCAAAAACCAAAAACCTTTTAATTAATGATAATGCATCGGTTGATGATAATTCTGACAATGGGATTAATTTACCAACCCACTGAACACAATAAGATTGAAGATAAGAGACTGCTATACGAGGATTTAATTCTTTTGAGGTTTCATAGAATGATGGTAATAAAAATAATAGCTGTGATAGTAAGTGATACATATTTGTAATCCATTTTTCACCAGTTAAAATATTTATATTTGAATTTGTTGGTTTAATATAATGCTGTTCATCCCATGATGTTATATTTGTTAATTGTTCGCAGAGATAAATTAAATTTATACTAGAGAGGTGCTTGAATATTTTCCTTATTACTAATTTAACATTTCTATCCTCTCTTGAAGCATAATCTTTTAAAATTGCTGATAATTCCTCTTCGCCCCTGTTTGCTGGAAAATATTTAAAAATTGTTGAAAGTTTAGATTTGGTGACAACCTTTTGATTGCCATCCATTTCCATTTCTATAGCTTGGTGTAGAGCTATCGCTGGGTAAGCAGAGTTATTTCCTAAGAGTGATGAAACTACGTCGAATTGATGAGACGAAATTTGAATCTTTAAAAGGTTCTGTACAGTTTTAATATCCTCTAGTGTGTTTTCGGTAGTATACATTAAAAGTTGAGAGAGATATTCTTTTGAAAATCTAAAAACATTTGTATTATTTAATAATGAATCAATAACCTGTGACCCCTCTAATCTTGATTCCTTGAACCCAACAGTTAGTGATAAAAGTTTAATAAAAGCCCTTTGATTTGGTGAGATTATATATTGTTTAATTAAATGTATAATATATCTTATGATTTCATTATAACAATAGGAAAATCTATTTCTAGGTTGTTGTGGTGGCTGTGACTGATTCGATGAAGGTGATGACGTTAATAATTGATCAATCTCTTCAACTACTACTAATAAATCCTGATCATCATTATTATTTTGTGTTGTATTGGTCGCAGAAGGTGTTGGGTTTTTTATTTTTTGTTGTAAAGCTAAAGGTTGTTTATTTACAGTTGGTGGAGTTGTGGTTGTAGATGTTGTAGTTGATAAAGCTGTATTATTTGTTTGCTGTAGTTGCTGTTGTTTATTTTGAGGAAACACCATTGTTATATTATTTACGAAATTTTTACAGTATGGATCTTCAACCCAATATCTGTCCCCTATTGCATCATCCAAATAGGCAAAAAATAGGTACTGTGGCCAATCGGAAATAGAGTCATAACCTGCCATTAATAAATTGCATGCCAATATAGATAATAGATTGTTCTTTTTCTGTACATGAGTTGGGTCTTTTTTTAAAAGTGATAAAAGTGGGTCCAATAAGTCAAAGTGTGAAAATAAACTTGGTGACTTCTTTGCAATAACCAATAATGATAAATATGCACATTTATCCGGCTCATTACCAATACTATTTCTAAAAACCAATAATATTGTCTTTATGATTCTAATTTTATTTTCAATATCTTCTTCACTTTCAATTAAATCGACATAATAATTTTGATCAAATGATTTTTTAATATTGTTATTGTTTGGGTTATTATTAATATTATTACTAATATTACTACTATTATTTATGCCATTATTATCTGTATCATTTTTTAATTTTTTTGCTTGACCCTGTTCACTTGATTCTTCATTTAAACCTGAATAAAAAATTAAATTTGTATTAATATTAATAAAAAAAAATTTTATTTTTATTTTTATTTTATTTTATTTATTTTATTTTATCTTATTTTATTTTATTTTATTTAATTTTATTTTTTTATTATTTAATATGATTAGTTACCTTTACTTCTTTTAACTTTATTTACATTTGACATTATTATTTGATTTTTTTGAAATTTGTTATTTTTAGAAAATTTTCATTGATCAAAAAAAAAAAAAAAAAAAAAAAAAACTAATATAATTATATTTAATTTTATTTATTATTTCAAAAAACAAAAATTATTTTTTGGGGGGGTAAATATAAAATAAAAAAATATATTTGGAAATCGTTATAGATACTGAAAAAAAAAAAAAATTATGTGTTTGTTAATGTTTAAATAAATAATTAAAATAAAAAAATAAAAAAAATTTTCATTTTTTTCAATTTTTTTTTTTTTTTTCTAATTTTTTTTTTTTTTTTTAATTTTTTATTTTATTAATTATTTTTTTTTTTATATTTTATGATACTTCGCCTAATATCATCTTTTTTCTATTATTTATATTTTATTTATAACTGTAATAACATTAAGTTTTTTTTTTTAAATATTATTTGATTTTTTTTTTTATAACATTTTTCAAAAAATTTATATATATTATTTGATCCTATTCCTTTTTTATATTTAATTTTTTTTTTTTTTTTTTTTTTTTTTGTTTAAATATAGTAAGGTTAGTTCTAATTATAAAAACTGAATAAAAATTAAATAAAGCTTCATTATTTTGTTTTAATGTATAAACTACTATTTTAATACAGCAATAATAATATAAAATATCGTTTAATAATAATATTTTAATTAAATAAAAATAATAGTTGTAGTAATAAAAATAACATAAAAAATAATTTTAAAAAAAAAAATAATAAACAAACATAAACAGTAATAAAATCTTTATTTATATTAATATCTTATTTTTACCACTACCATTTTTACTACTACAATTATTATTTCTATTTAATTAAAATTAGATTTATTAAATATTTAATAAAAGTATTGATGTATTTTATTATTTGGTAATAACAAATTTTATTTTTTTACTTTTTTTGAGTTGTATTATTTTTTGTGTCACACTATAATTTAAAAAAAAAAAAATAAAAAAAAAAATAAAAAAAAATAAGTAAATAAATAAATAAAAATAAAGTGTCAATTAAATCAATAATATTTTAATTAACATGGCTACTATACATAATTATGCATTAAAAAACTGCCATAAATAATAAATATCAAAATTTTTAAAAAAACATATGTGGACAATTCCATCATTTTATTTTCTACAAAATTGGAAATCATTCATTCACTCACTTTTTATATCTGTATTTGGATATCAATATAAATGTCTATATATAAACAGAAAAAAAACTAAATAAAAATAAAAATAAAATAAACTTTT